TCCTCCACAGTACCCATGTGGGTGTACTCGAATCCCTGCTGCACCTTGCCACCCTCAGCCTCCGGCTTGGCCGCCCCCCTGGCCTGTGGCTCGTCCAGGATAATTGCCACTCGCACAAGGATGGCAAGCCGCGTGTGGACTACGGCGGCTACAGAGTCTTCGCGCTGTGCTCGGCGGAGGGGCGCTTCGCGGAAGAGCTGTGGGGCGGCCGCGGCCGCGCGCTGCTCCAGGGCGGGCTGGGGGCCCTCCAGGACGCGGGAGGGGACAGCCTGGTCTCCAGCCTCCTGGACCAGGAGGTGGCGGCCATCTGTGCGTCCCAGGGGCGCCCCTGCGCGGACGTATTCGCGGACGAGGCGGAGGCCTTCGACTCGCAGGATCGCACAGAGGCGTTGGTGGCAATGCACGACAGGGCGGGCATCACAGGCCGGCAATGGCTCCTCGCAGAGTCCATGCTGAAAGACACCACTGTGGTGGTTGCCGGGCGTGGAGGCCGCACCAGGCCATTCCGGCCGAGAGTGGGCATGCCGGAGGGCCGGGGCCTCAGCCCGGCGCAATACAGCCTCGCCAACGCAGACAAGCTGGAGGAGGTGGCGAGCGTGCCGGGCGTGGGCCTTGGACTTGACCCGCCCGAGGCGGCGCTGGCGGCCTACCGCGCCCATAGGAACGGGACCGACGCGGATCACTTGGACGTCCACGAAATCCAGCAATGGGCGCAGCTCCTCAGCGACAGCCACGTGGACTGGGATGGGTGCATGGCAGCAGCGTCGTCGGATGCCATCCGGCTGGGGCTCCTGGACGCGTTCTCCACCACGAGGATCGGGCCCAGGGCCTTTGTGGACGATGTCCGTGCCAAGGCGAGCTCGAGAGCGCAGTGCGGGGTCGTCGTCAAGGCCCTCCAGGAAGCCGCCCGCCGCCATCGTGGGCACCTCCGCTACGGACCCACCAAGACAGCGATCCTCGCCCGGGGCTTCGCGGACACCAGGCCCACCCGCGGTGTCTCCTTCGTGGACGAGTACCGGAGCCTGGGCGTCCAGCGATCGTCAGGGCAGCCAGGCAGTGCGCACCTCACTGCCATGGAGCGGGCGGCGGGCGAGGTCGGGCGGCGGCACATACAGACGATGAGCGGCCTGGGGTTCTCGCTGCAGGAGATCTCCCTCGGCATCACTGCCTGCGCCCAGCCCAAGACAGTGTACGGGGCCGAGCTGTGCATCCACGCGAAGGCGAGCGGGCCAACGCTCAACCGCATCCAGGAGCGGTGGGCCCGAGGGGCCCTCGGAGTCTGCGGGCCCATCCCGCGGGCCCTGCTCCTCCGCCATGTGGGGTGGCCGATGCGGCTCTCGACGCTCATAGAAGAGCGCGCGATCCGGCTGTACTGCCGTGCCCAGGTGGAGCCGAGATACGCCGAGGCAAAGGCGGTCTTGGCTCTCGCCCAAGACGCGGCTGGCACATGGACACACCACGTCCGCCAGTTAATGGTGCGCTGGGGCGTGCCCGAGCCGCCCGGACCGGCAACTGGGCCGGCCGCCGCGATCAGGTTCAGGCGCCTGGTGCGGGCTGCCGCTCGTGGCCAGGACAGGGCATGGCTGGCCGAGCCCGCGCAGCGGGAAGCCCTCCAGCGGCCAGCGGGCACCGGGGCCACGGCGGCAGACCTCAGCGCGCAGGGAGCCACGCTACCAGAGGTTCGAGCGTGGGCTCGCCTCGCCTTGCAGGGCGCCCTCCTGCGGGATGCAACCGGGGCGGTGGCCGCGTGCCGGTTCTGCGGCGCCTCGCTCGAGACCTGGGCCCACCTGGAGCAGTGCCCCCCGGCGGTGGTAGCGCTGGGGCGCGCGGGGCCAGCGGCAGCGGGCTGGGCGAGCAGCCCCCCCACGGCCGCCGAGGCGCGCCGGCTGGAGGCAGCTGCGGAGGAGGCAGCTGCGGAGGCTGCCGCGCGGGGCCCATGATAGAACCAGAGCGGAGTAGCGAGACATAAGAAGTGGCGATGAACTGGCCCCCTTCCGACTCGTCTCCGGCCCCCTCGCCCCCCCGCCCTCGCCCCCTCGTCGTCCTGGCCCCCTCGCCTCCTCCCCGCCCTCCCCTCCTCCCTCCCTGGCCCTCGCCCCCCGCCGGCCCGCCTCTCTCCCCCCCATATGGAAGCCGCCGCAGGCTGAAAAAGGTATGAATATTTGTTCATGCCTTTTCCGTGCCCTGGTGCCCGGCCCTGACCCGCGCCAGAGTGAGGCATTGACAGGAGGCCCCTGATCCCGGGGGACGCCCGCACTGACGACCCCGTCCGGGGGGCACCCATGGACGCACCGGAGCGCGTTGGCCCCGGTTGGCCCAGCCTCTGGCGCGGGCCCGGGGGCTGGAGGCTGGGGGGTGGCCCCGTGCCGGGGCCGGGGCGGGCGTCCTTCGGGGGGGGGGGGCTCGCCGGGAGCGCTCGGACGGTTCGGGGAGTCCCGGAACTCGCCGGTGAGCACCCCGGGGCGGCCAGCCCAGGTGAAGCTTGGCGCTGGCCAAGCTTGCCATGCGGCGGGCCGCCCCCGGGCGCCATCGGGGTGTCCGGCGGCTGGCCTGGGCACGTCTGGAGTGCTGCCACTCGCCGTGCGATGTCGGCCCGTGCATTGCCACCCCGCTCTGGCGTGAGTGCCTGCCGAGCAGCCACCCGCCCCAAGCGGGGCTGCCGGAGGCTACCCACCGAGTGGCACTCGTCCGGCCTAGCGTCGGGGGGGCCGCCGGGGGACCCCCTCCCCAGAGGGCTGGTGCGCAGGGGCCCCCCGCGTCAGCGTCGGGCGCCACCCACCAGACCCTCTGGCCGCGGGGAGGGGCAGCGGCCGCGGGCTGGGCGCTAGGAGGCCCGCCTGCGGGGAATGTAGGAGCCCGTGCCGGGCGGCCCGGCCGGGCGCGCCGCCCGACTGTGGGTGCGCGTCAAGCGGTCGGAAGGAAGGAAGGAGGAGGAAGAGGAGGAGGGGGAGGAGAAGGAGGAAGAGGGGGAGGAGGAGGAGGAGGCGGGGATGGCGGAGGAGGAGGAGTAGGAGGGAGGAGGAGGTGGAGGAGGAGGAGGTAGGAGGGAGGAGAGGGAGGAGAGAGGAGGAGGAGGAGGAGTAAGAGTACTGATAGTCATGCGAATAAGAATATGGCAGAACTCAAAATTCTCATAATACCAACAACAGGAACAAGCATCATACTAGCAATGATACGACTGCCATTCCGAATACTGAAAATAATAGAGTAATACGTCTACTCGTATGAGTAATACTAAGCTGACGAGGGGGAGGAGGAGGAGGAGGAGGAGGAGGAGGAGGAGGAGGAGGAGGAGGAGGAGCTGGGGAGGAGGGAGGAAGGGGAGAAGGAGGAGGAGGAGAAGGAAGGAAGTCGTGGGAAGCGAGGAGGAGGAGGAGGAGGAGGAGGAGGAGGAGGAGGAGGAGGAGGAGGAGGAAGAGGAGGACCATTGTAAACCCAAGAGTCATCAACCAAGCTTCCTCTTCATAGGCCCCTACATCGGTTCCCTTCCATTGGGGGAACTGCTTCGTTGGAAGGCAACCTTTTGAAGACCCTGCAGCATGGCAAAACATTGTTCTCGGGATTACAATGCCACGGATCAGTTTGACTGCTGCTTGTTGACAATCCTGAATCGTGCCAGAATGCCATTCTGGGACTTCAACACAGCGAATCAACTTAAGTGTTGCGCTCGCGTAAGCCTGAATCTTTTCAAAACATTTTCGTACGTTAATGCTGGGAACCAGAGAAACCCTTGCAAATGTTGTGAACGAATGTGCGCGGCGCTAGGGCGAGAGCCACATTTTGAAAACTACCCGCCCTCAATCCGTGAAGCTCTCGCAAATTTGTGTACCGAATATGCGCAGCGCTAAGGCGAGAGCAACATTTAGAAAACCCCCTCCCTCAATCCGTGAAGGTCTTGCAAAGTTTCAAACTAATGTGCGCCGCTAATGCGAGAGCCACATTTTGAAAACCACCCGCCCTCCATCTGTGAAGCGGTTGCCCAGTTTTAAGCTTCAGAGTCATACGTGGTGAGGAAGTCTCAGGCGAAACGCCCGGCCCGCCTTAAAAACTGGCCTCGGGATGTGATCGGGAGAAATTATCTACAAGGAAAAGGAATGGAGGAGGAGGGGGAGGAGGGGGAGGAGGAGGAGGAGGAGGAGGAGGAGGAGGAGGAGGAGGAGGAGGAGGAGGGAAGTCATGGGAAGCAGCCCCAGGAGGGTGGGAGGGGGGGGGTCCGCGGGCCTCCATTGGCCTCGGGAGCCACTGGGGCGGCACGCTCAGCCCCAGTCCGGTGGGCCCGCCGCTCCGCTGCGCTCAGCGCCCTCCGAGCGAGGTCTTCAAGGGTGCCGTGGGGCCGAGCCTGCCCGTGCGTGGGGCGGCCGGCGGCACTGCCCGCGAGACGGCGACGAGCCCTCAGCGGCAAGACTGCCACCGACGGGGGCGGTGGGCCGTGCTAGTATTATTTGTGTATGTACGTATGTGTATATATCATTATGTATATGTACATATCTGTATGTATATATATATATATATATATATATATATAGAGGTGTAGATCCCTCTTTGTTTTTCTTCGTTGTTTGGTCTGTAACCGCTTCAGAAAACAACTGGGCAATCATCCAACATCGGCGTCTCGTGTACAGTGCGACACACCGTGATGTCTCTTCGCAGTTCGCAGGTCCTACTTAACGCTGATCTCAGCAAGCTGAGTGTGCATTCCCGCCAACTGCAGTGTCCTTTTTGCCGCTTGCCTCGTCAATATTCTTGTTTCATGTATGCAAATTATCACGACTCATACTACGGATTTCGTATATCATGGTCTGGCACACGGTCTGATTCGACATCCCGCGATGGTTTTATTCGCCGTAGCTGTGAATGGGCCGCGTTCCACGCAGTCGTGGTGGACGGCACGGCCACTCCCATTGTCCCATCATCTTGCGTCTTTCACAGATGCTGCCGCGGCCTCTGAATTGAACGCTTTGTTACACCTGAGCGTCAATGGGCAGTGTGGGCAACGTGGGGAGGTCAAAAAAGAAGATGGAGGAGTTCAATAAGGAGTGTGAGAGAAAAATGGTCGACGCCGAGAGACGGACAGGCGAGTTCCAGGATTGCTGATGTATTTGCCCCTGGAGCCGCATCCAATCAATGTGCTCTTGTTGTTTGCAAGGTCGTCTTTCATGTATGCTAGAGGGGGTGGATGGGGTCCTAACCAGTATCCCCTAAACGCCGCGGAGATCTCCACTCCCCCCCTGGCATTGGGCTGGCATGGGGGGCCCGAATCTTCCCCTCGGAAGTCAGTCGGGTGGGCCGTCCCCACCCCTCCATGCGTGCTGGCAAACGACGACGAAGACGACGACTGGCAAACATGAAGAACATGACGCTGACGACGACAACGGCGGCGACGACGACAGTGACGACAACGCTGACGTCGACGCCGATGCTGACGTTGACGACGACGACGCTGACGACGACGACGGCGACGGCGACGACGACGGCGACGACGACGGCGGCGACGACGACCCTGGTCCTTTGAACGAGCGAGGTTTACGTGGCACGTTTACCCTGCTCGCCTTCGTGCCCCGCCTGCGCGACCCGCTCGTCAGGGTCTCGCGTGCTGTACCCGGCCGTCAGGGTCCCTCCCGCCCGACCCGCCCTGCTGAGGTCCCACCCGCAAGCATTTCTGACATCCTGCTTGCCCGCTGTGATGCTTCGCCCGCCCGATCTGCTCGCCAGGGCCTGGCGGTCCCGCCCGCACGAATGTTTGGAGACCCGCCCGCCCGCATGAATGTTTCGCCAGCCCGATCCGCCCGCTGCCTTTGATGTCCCGCCGCCCGCGCCGTCGTAAGTTGTCATCGTGGTCGTCGGGTCGTCGGACGTCATCGTCGGCGCACTTACCTTCGTCGTCGTCTTATCCGTAATTTTCGCCGTCGTCGTCATTTCTTCGTCGTCATCGTCGCTGTTATCAGCGTCGTCAGCGTCGTGGTTGTCCTCAGCACTCTCATCATCGCCATTCGTCATCGTCAGCGTCAGCCTCATTGTCGTCGTCGTCGTCGTCGTCGTCAGCCTCCTCGTCGTGG